GAAAAAACAACTCAGACATTCCTGTCTGGCTAGTTTAGCCACAAACAGTTTCACAACAGAGTTTCTATAAACTATAATACATCACAATCTATTAATATTGTGATACAGCAAGAAAATATTTGTCTCAATATTGCCTTTCCCCCTGGTCGATTATCAAATTTGGTGGTTTTTGATCAGCCAACTGATAAATTGAATTGTATAAATAAATATATAAATTATTGTTTCAGCTCTTCTGCCAACTGACTCATTACATTCAGCTGTTGCCCCGGTTGTGACTCAGACCCTATGATAAGTCTCGAACGAAAAACCAACTGGAGCTCCGGGTCATGAGGGACATTTGCGATTACATACATGCACACGAGAATCTTTTGGGGTTTTTTTTTTTTTTTAAATCACAAACAAATAAAATGAGTTGCAAATGCTCCCAAATCCGGGGAACGAAAGCGGGTTTTCATTTGTCCGACTGCCCGAATATAAAGAAATGAACGCATCAGTAACGCACAAAAAGCACAATGATCAGTTTTCAGTGATGTGGCAGCCAAAACCACCGGCAGTATAAAGTGAGTCCATCTGGAGCCAAAAAAAAAAAAAAAAAAGAAAAAAAACTATGATTGGGGGAAAAAACAAACTGCATTTTTCCCCCTGAAATAATCTAAACCCCCTTCGCTGAGCCCAGGTTCCTCGCGACGCTACAACCAAATGAAGAATCCGCCGCTGAAACAACGACATGTCGACGCAGGAGTGCACACACACGTGAAGGCAAACGCAGCTGTCCTCGGGAGCGAGAGACACACAGGGTGCCTTCAGAGCACCGCGGGCCAGTTGCTCTCCAGAAGTATTTCTTAGTGGTCAGCCCCCCTCGCTCTCTCTCTCTGAGTGGGGCTCAGGCTCTGAGTCCTCTCTGTGTGTAATGAGATCTTTATCAGAGGGAAACATGATCAGAGGGGAGGGGGGGGGGGACTCTGGGAAGCAGGGGAGAGAGAAGGTGTATCGCTAGGGGTAAAGGGGGGCAGCAGGCAGAAGAAACCAAAACAGGCCTCCGACCCTCGACGCCTTCACCGGACTCTCTGCAAGGAAGCAAACCCTGTTTCTGGTTCCCAAGGTTCAGTCAGAGTCTCGCTCGACAGGTTGCGGCAGTTTATAGTTTTTGCAGTTGCGGCTTGGTTTGTTTAGAAAGCTCCAACCGAAATGCTGGTTACATATTCAAATGTCAGCTCGGGGAAGCGTTTCTGAACACCACTTTGCAGGAGTTAAAGGTTTCTCCGTGTTCCAGAAAAACAATAAATGTTGCTTTGATTGGATCTGGTTGTAAAAACAAAAGATAAGGGAGACGTTTGTTTTTTCTCCTAATTACCTCGTAGGAAAAACTTTTTTTTTTTTTTTTGTAGCCCCAATTATCTGAACGGAAAAAGCTAATTGTGAAAAGAAAACTTGAACTTTAATTAGGCCTTCTGTGCACCTATTCTCCTAATAGCAGCCAACTCTAATTACGGCTGCTTTCAAAAGGTATTGTACTTGCCACCTCATCATTTCAACGTCGTTCCCCCCCCTCCTCTTAAGAAATGTTCTCTTTCGCTGGAGAGACTCAATAAACATGTTTGTTAAATATCACAGCGGTATTCAAATCAAACTTAATCATCGTCAAACTCCCCGAACCTTTAAAGCGTGCACGCAACATTATAAACCAAGCCAGCCGAGTGTTAAACGGAGAGCCAGGCAGCTGAGGTCAGCGGACAGCAAAATAAGATGAGTAAGTAAAGACCCGCGGCAAAGCGAGGCTTGAGCTGACTTTCATCAACACAAACGCACCCCCACCCTCACCCTCACCCTGTTATGCTATTTTGTGGGCTTCAAAACCCAACGCAGAGGCCAAGAAATGTCTGCAAAACTGTTTCCATGCCTCGGCGAAACGCGAGGAGTTCAAAACCAGTGCAGCAGACTCCCGGCCAGACCCGCGGGGCCTGTGTGTTTTTTAGAGGTGTGCGAGCGTGTTTTTTTTTGGGGGGGGGGGGGTTTCGCCCTCCTTTCATCATTTTTTGTTTGTCTCCTGAGCTGCTGCAAACAAGGCCGCGGGGGCTACAGGTCACGAGCTAAATATTAGCTAAGGAGGGTTAGAGGACATGCAGGAACCACTCACAGCAACCTTGTCAGATTATCATTGAATTGGCGTCACTGCAGAATTCCTTAGCACGCTGTGTGTGTGTGTGTGTGTGTGTGTGTGTGTGTGTGTGTGTGTGTGT